GAGATGGGGTCTTGAGGAACTGTTTGCCTGGGCTGCCCTGGAAACTTAATCCTCTCAATCTCAGACTCCCAAGTGGCTACGATTCACAGGTATGAGCCTCTGGTACCTGGCTTGATCTCAAAATCTTAATGACCAAATGGCTATAGTGCATCACTTTGTTGTGTGGATAAGATTCTTAGTGTTGTAACCAAGTACTTCTTCGTCTCCTAGCTAAGGCTATCCTTTCCATGGGGTTGGCTTTAGTATTGGAAGATATGATCTTTGCTTTTGTATAGTGTCTCTGCAAATACCTGTTTTGAGCAATGTTGATGTTTTTGATTGGCTTGTATCTCATAGTTCAGTAGCTGCTAATAAAATTAAAGATCCTGAGGGGAAGGGGAAGCACAATATATAAGTGATATGGTTGAGTTGCATATTTCTACATGAAACACAGTGGCCTAGATAATCTATTGGCTGATCAAAGTAGTTGGCTACTTTGGAAGGCAAATGCAAGTGAAATTAGTTACATATTTTCATGACTAGTAGAACTGTATCCATCACCTTTATAAAGATATAAGATACTCATTCATGTTGTTTAAACAGGAATCTTCTCCCCTAAATAACACTGACAGTTTTGGGGACAGAAGGAAGATTCTTTGCAGACTATCACTCACCCTCTATGAAATGAAGATGAGGTACTATTCAACTGATTGGGTTTCAGCTCTATCCAAGTTAATATAATTGATTCTGTTATATACCCTTCAGCCATGTTATTATAATTGATTGGGTTAGAGTTTGATTGTGTTAGTGCTCCAGCCATTTTACTTTAAGTGATTAGGTTGCTAGATCTTTAGATATGTTGATAGAATTATGCTTTCCTGAAACTACATTAGATGATTTGCCACTTCTACAAATGGCTGATCTATTACATTTTGACTTTTCCCAATTTCACATGTGGTGCACAATCTTGTGTTCTTCTTCTTCTTCTTCTTCTTTTCTTTTTTTGTGGGAGTAGGGTTTGAATTCAGGGCTTCATGCTGCAAAGCAGGCACTCTACCACTTGAGCCATACCTCTAGTCCATTTTGCTCTGTTGTTTTGGAGATGGGGTCTCGAGAACTATTTGCCTAGGTTGGTCTTGAACTTTAATCCACCTGAACTCAGCCTTCCAAGTAGCTAGTAATACAGGTGTGAGCACTTGGCTGGGACCATATTCTAACTCTACTGTTTTGTATTCACTCTAAGCTGAAGAACTGCAATGACTTCCTAGTTGATCTATCTGCCTTTCCTATCTCTTTCAATCCTTTCTGCATACAAAGTTCTCAAATTAATCTTCTTAAAATTGCTTCCAGGGTATGAGGTGTGGTTCAAGGAGTAGAGCACCTGCTTAGCAAGACCAAAACCCTGAGTTCAAACCCCAGTCCCACCAAAAAAAAAAAAAAAAAAATTGCTTCCATGTAACCCCAGCTACTTGAGAAGATTAAGCTGGAGGACCAAAAGTTTGAGGCCAGACTCGGCAACAGATTGAAATCTCATTTCAAAAAAAAAACTGCTTGGGCAATTGGTGCAAGTGGAGAGCATCTGCCTAGCAAATATGAACCACTGAGTTCAAACCCCAGTACTGCCAAAACAAAAACAAACACCCATCATTTAGGACTGGGAGTGTGGCTCAAGTGGTAGAGAATCTGCCTGGAAAGCTCAAGGCCCTGAGTTCAAACCCCAGTACTTCCTCCCCCCAATTGCTTCTATTAAAATATTTAGAATCTATGGGTCTAGTACCCAGAATATAAAAACAAAAACAACAACAAAAAAACCCTCTTACAACTCAACAACAAAATGACAACCCAACCTAAAAATGGATCAAGGACTTGAATAGACATTTCTCCCAAGAAGATATGCAAATGGACCACAAGCACGTGAAAAGATGCTAAAATCATTAGTCATCTGGGAAATGCAAATCAAAACCACAATGAGATGCCATTTCATTCCCATTAGGATGGTTGTAAAAAATACAAAAACAAAAACAAGAAACTAAAAAAATAGCAACTGTTAGATATGGAGAAATCCAGAACTCTTATATATTGCTGATAGAAATATAAAATGGTGCAACTACTGTGGAAAGTAGTTCAAGCAGTGCTCAAAGTTAAACATAAAATTATCACTCCTATGAAAGAACTGAACGCAGGTACTCAAACAATTTCTTTTTCAGAGTTGGGGGATCAAACCCAGTACCTCACTCATGTCAGGCAAGCACTCCACCACTTAGTTACATCCCCAGCCCACAAACATTTGCTACAAGAATGCTCATAGCCACTGGTTACATTTGACATATTCCTTTCCAGTGTTATCTCTACACACATTTACACAATTAATAGGTTGTAATCATATATTCATAAATATGTATATATAGATAGATAAAGAGATATAAACATTTTCCATTTGAATGGGGTCTTAAAGGTTGAGAAACAGTTTTCCAGGTGAAGGAGAAATGATAGCAAAAGGAACAGCTATGATGGTAGAACTTTAAAGCTAGGTAGAGCACTAGGAAGCTCTAGCCCGAGGCTCCCCTTTTTCAGAAGTGACAACTGTAATCCATTCAGAAAAAATATGGACACTTGTTTAAAAAATCTCACCCTGTTGGAGGAGGTGGCCCAAACAATTTGTACACATGTGAGTAAATGTAAAAATGATAAAAAAAAAAACAAAAAAAACTCCCACTGATTAAAGCAAAGTTACAAAAAGAAACTAATGTTTCTAATCCAATCAGTAGTCTCCCCTTACTCCCTGCACAATTATTTAACAGTTGGGGAACTAAGAATTAGCCATCTTCTGGAACAATTTCAGACTGAAAAATTTGTCAGTTATTCCACAAAGAAATAGGAGCTAATCTTCTCCATGAACCAACCATATCACATGGTTTTCTTCCTCATGGTCTCTGTAGAATATCTGATGTAGGATCCTTCAGGTAGGACTGAGATGCAACAGAGACTGTACCACAAACCAGAGGAGTTGACTATGGGGGAGAACATGGTGTTATAACCAGCTCTGAGCTTACATATATGACTGTCAGTGGATAGCTGTATGAACTAATGTAAATTATTTAACTCTGGGGCTCTACTTTTCTCATCTGTAAAATGAGAGTGATAACCACCTACTTTGTACTTTAAAAACTTTTTCCTTTAGGCAGAACTGGGGTTTGAACTCAGGGCTTTGTGCTTGTTAGGGAAGCTCTCTAGTGCTTCAGCTATACCTGCAGCTCTTTTTGCTCTGGTTATTTTGGAGATAGAGGTCTCACTATTTGCCTAGGCCTTCCTGAACCCTGATCCGCCTATTTTACACTTCCTGTTGTGGCTGGGATGACAGGTACACCACCATGCCCAGCTTTTTTACATTGAGATGGAGTATTGCAACTGTTTTTGCCAGGGCTGGCCTGGAATCAAGATCTTCCACATCTGTCTTCCAAGTAGTTTGGGCTGACACAGGCATGCCACCTATCCAGCTATTGATTGAGATGTGGTCTCCCTAACTTTTTGTTCAGGCTAGTCTCAAACCTTTATCCTCCTGTCTCTGCTTCCCTAGTAGCTAGGATTGCAGGCATGAGCCACATGTGCCTAACTGGTTTTTGTTTTTAAGAGACAGGATTTCACTGGCTGGAGTGATCCTCCTGTCTCAGCCTCCTAAGTAGCTAACTATAGGAGTTTGAGATCAGCCTGGTCAGAAAAACCCCTCTATTAAGAAATAAAACACTACCACCAAACAAACAAAAAAGTCTCAAAATATATTAAATATTGTATTTAAAGAGTTAGTGTTATGTCTGGCACATAACAAATGGGCAGTAAATATTAGTATTGTCATTAAGCTGCCAAGCCAAGGACACCCCCACTGGCTGATGCCCAGGCACAGTACTAAATGTTTGGATAATTCTCCATTAGGAAAGAAGGCCAAGTCTTCATCAATCTTCTGGATATGAGTTGACATTTGGGACCTCAAAAAATAAACAAACAAAAAAATTACCTTCTTTTCTTGTTAGTATATATTTGTTTTGTAATTTGTTTTGTGTTGTTTTATACTTTTCTCTGCCTCTACTCTGAAATTATTAGAAACACTTCTGGAAAAGTTTGAATTCTCTCTTGCAGAGTTCCTAAAGACATATTGTCAGAGATGGGGAGAAAAGTCCTTTGGGATTATTAAGGTAATAGGTGTCCCTGATCTAAGAAGGACGGGGGCCCAATGAACTAGGCATAGGGAAAAGCCAGGCTTCATTAAAGTCCTTCCCTATTGTGAAATCCCAGCATTCAGTAAATCTCTCTCTCTCTCTCTCTTTTCATTTTGCAACGGCTTGTCCCTACTGGAAAACCGCAGACCCTATTCATATGCTCAAAATACACCTATTCTGATCTCTTGGTCCCTTGGCCCCTCCTTCTCTGGCCTCTTTCCAAAGCTCTAATTACACCCTATTTCATACTGAGTCAAAGAAAATCTGCTTTTAGAAACTCACTGGCTTCTCGTACATCTCTGGGCCAAGCAAAGACTTTGTTTAATCTAGTTAACTGTGTTGGGCATCTCTTGATTTTAAATTAGTGGTAATATATCTTGCAGCTTGAGGATGCTGGAGTGACTTGAGCGAGCCTGAGCAGAGAGCCAACTCGTGAGTATCAAGTAGGACCTAATCGGGGAATAGGGAATGGAGTAGGATTCTGCCAATGTTAAGGGTTAAGGAGACATAGCGCCCCCAAAAGGGAGTGAGGATTAAAGCCAATAAATCAAGCCAACGATCTCACCCTCAGCCTACCAATTGAAAATTAACAATTGCTTCCTCCGTTCCCCATGGAAACAACCCAGTCCCATTGACCCCCTGCTATTTAGTGGTGAGGTTTTGGCATTTTATTGAGTATTTGAGCTGACAATCAAATACCTGCTTCTTCTGGCTGGACACCTTGCTTCCGCTAAGCAAATTAGTACACTGATTGGTCAATACGGCTTATCCTTATCCAATGAGTCTTATTTGAGGCGGGGCCTAATGAGGACTCAGAGCCAATCAGTAGTGGCGTTGCTTTCGCAACTCCACGTCGGCACCAGCTGCGGGGCAAGATGGAGGCGCTGATTTTGGTAGGAGTCGGAGGGGCAGTGTAGCCGTTGCGGTGCCCAGAGGGGCCGGGAGTCACGGTTCAGCTAACTGGGAAGGGGAAGGAAGGGGAGTTCCGTGCAATCTTTGGTGATCGGAGGTTTTGCTGGCCTGTGGAATAAGTGTGTGGCCTAGTGCAGGACCTAAGGCCGCGGTTTAGAGTATAAAGTCCTGCCGGGCGAGGGCTATAGAGTAGAGGGCAGAAAAGTTGAAGAAAGCACATGGTGTCCTTAGGATCCGTACAGTTGTAAGTGTGTTGAAGAAGAGTCCTTCAGATTCCACCGATTCATCCATATCATTATGGATGATATCTTGATTTGAATTTCCTGAAACTTCCATACTCTCCCAGAATTGTGAAAATAAGAGTTACAGGCTCCTTTTGGTGATTTTCAGAGTTTCATTCTCCATGGATAATTCCCTGTCACTTTCCTTCAAAAAACTGTTTTCTCTTCCGTTTCCTGCTAAACCCTGTTTTATAGTTGTCATTATAAAGAATCAGCGTTCCATCAAAGTTCTGGAATCCCTGGTAGAGTTAACATGGATCGTGAAATATTTTTCCAGGCTCCTTATTCTGTTCTTTTCTCCTCCTCATTTAGACTTTAGGAATTCTAACTGTAGGATCTAGGATACTAATTTTTCCCTCTTTAGTTACATGAGAATTGTGGTGGCTTAAAAGAATGCATATGTCCATATGATCCTTTTTACTTATTCAGTCAAAAAACACTTGACTGAACACTTACCCCTTCTTTAGAACCAGAGGAGAGCATTTCTCTCAAAAGCACACTGTTTAGCAGTTTGCAGATATGTGTGTCTCCGTGTATAGCTTCCAGCCTGCTTATTTGAGTTGAACCCTAGGCCTCTTTGTAAATTTGCTTTTTTTATTTCCTTTAGATCCCATACACGTACACATCCAGACCGTTGTCAATAAAAGAGAATAGTAGATTTTTACTTCCCCCTCTTTCAAAATGTCAAAGAAAATTTCTCCTCATCATGTGTGTTGGTCAAGTCTAGCTCTAAGCTTAAAATCTGAGTAGTTTTAAATATTTTCTGTACTAGAGAGTTAATGAGTATTCTTAACCAGCTAACAGACTAGGATAGATTCTAAGGAATTTGTTTCTTTGAAATTTTTAGATTGTTCCTTAACCTTTATTGGTTTTATTTATTTATTTATTTTAGTGATACGGGGTTTCAACTCAGGGTCTCACACTTGGGACTCTTATCACTTGAGCTTCTTACCACTTGAGCCTCAGCCCAGGGAAACTCTTGGTCTGTTGGGCTGGGTGTAGTTCAGAAGTAGAATACTTGCCTAGCATGCTAAAGCCCCTGGGTGCTTCTCCTGCACTGCAAAAACAAAACAAATGCTGGAGCCAGTGGCTCATGCCTGCAATCCTAGCTACTCAGGAGGCAGAGATCAGGAGGATAGAGGTTCAAAGCCAGTCTGGGCAAATAGTTCTGCGAGAACCTATCTGGAAAAAAAAACCCTCCACAAAAAAAGGCTGGTGGGGTGGCTCAAGGTATAGGCCCTGAGTTCAAACTCCAGTATTGCTAAATAAATAAATAAACAAACAATGGGTTGTGTACAGTGGTGAGTTTAGGAAGTTAGATAGGATAGTCTCTCCTGCACATTTTCACTTCTCTTAGTTCTCTGTCTGCACTTCATTATAGTCTATTTTAGCCTTCTTCTTCCTTATTCCTTCAGTTTAATCTGTACCTAAGATGCTGCTCTCCCAGATACCTGCTAACTTGGTCAGATACCCCTTACCTTTGCTTTAAAAGCCATACTGATTTTTTTCTCATGAGGAGCCTATATAATGGAATTAAGGGAAACCAAGGTATAGCGAAAAGGGCTTGCTCAAGGGAGCATACTGTTAAAACTAGGTTTAGATTTTAAACTCATCTTCCCAGGCTAAGTCTCTGGGGTTTTTGTTGTTTTATTTTGAGGTACTTGTGTTTGAACTCAGGGCCTCACACTTACAAGGCAGACACTCTTCCACTTGAGCCACTCTGCCAGCCCTCTTTTGTTTTGGATATTTTCAAGATAGGGTCTCTTGAACTATTTACTGGGTTGACCTAATCCTCCTGATCTGTGCCTCCCAAGTAGCTAGGATTATAGGCATGAGCCACTGGTGCCCAGCTCTTTTTTTTTTTTTGCTGCTTTTGTTTATTTGTTTTGTTTTGTTATTTTGAGACAGGGTCTCTCTATGTAGCCCAAGCTGGCTTTGAACTCTAGATCCTCCTGCCTTATCAAAGTACCATAGGTTCTCTCATCATGGACTTATACTTCTTTAATATACAGGATTGTCCTTTTAATCATCAGTTATATAAAACTTTTGTTGGGGACAAAGTCCCAACAGACATCGGTTCTTGTGCTGATCTCCAGAGTTCTTAGATTATTAAACTATTATTGTCCTTTCTCTGTGTCAGCTCTTTCCAACTTTTTTTTTTTTTTGCAGTACTGGGATTTGAACTCAGGACCTACACCTTGAGGGACTCCACCAGCTCTTTTTTTTGTGCGAAGGGTTTTTCAAGATAGCATCTTGTGAATTATTTGCCCAGGCTGGCTTTGAACCGTGATCCTCCTGATCTCTGCCTCATGAGTAGATAGGATTGCAGGCATGAGCCACCGGTGCCCTGGCTGGTGGCCATTTTTTTCTCTTTACAATTCAGTTTAATTTTGGGCTCCCAATTAAGAGTTTATAGACCTTTTCTCACCATTGTAGCCTTTTTCAACTGGAGTTCTGTGATAGAAATAAGCCTTATTGCCTTGTAGTATTCTCTGTATTATGGTATTTCTTTTGTACCATCCTTGGGAGAAGTAAGAAATGGTTATTTAAATATTCTTCTATATTCTATGGTTCAGATAAAGAACCTTAATTGAGAATTAGATGATACTTTCTAAATCTCTACCTCTTACTACCCCTCATCCTAGCCCACAAAACTCAGCTCCATCTGATCCAGAATCACCTTTCCACACTACTCTTTTTTCTCTCATCCTTCATCTATCTACACAGCAGTATTTCCTGTTTCTTAGGTCTTCATCTTCATTATGAAAAGTACAAGGAACTGGGTGCCATTGTTCCCACCTGTGATCCTAGCTACTTGGGAGGTGAGGTTGGGATGAATGTAGCTCAAGGCCAGCCTGGGAACATAGTTTGAGAGATCCCCATCTCCAAAATAACCAGAGCAAAATGGACTAGAGATGTGGCTCAAGAGTAGAAGAGCACCTGCTTTGTAAGAGTGAAGCCCTGATTTCAAGCCCACCAAAAAAAAAAAAAAAAGTATAAGGAATCCCTTAGATCACTACTGAGTCAGCGTTTACAGTACCCAGATAGCATTTAGCAAGCTAATCCCTTTTTTTTTTTTTTTTTGGTACTGGGGTTTGAACTCAGGGCTTCACACTTGCTAGGAAGGTGCTTTACTTCTTGAACCACTCTGCCAGCCCTAGCAAGCTACTCATTAGAGAGGGCAAATTCCGAAGTTTCTTTAGTCTTCATCCTTTCACTCTTTTTTTTTGGTGGTATGAAGTTTGAACTCAGGGCCTTACACTTACTTGCTAGGCAGGTGCTCTACCACTTGAGCACTTGAGTCACATCCCAGCCATTTTTGCTTTAGTTATTTTTCAGATAGGGTCTTGCTTTTATGCCCAGGTGGCCTGGAGGGTGATCTTCCTCTTTATGATTCCCATGTAGCTGTGCTGACAGGTGTGCATCACCATACCTAGCTCTTTATTGGTTGAGATGGGGTCTTTTGGAGTCTTTGCCTAGGCTAGCCTTGAACCTTTCTCCAGTGGCTAGGTCTGCAGGTGTGAGCCACTAAGCCTGACTTTCACATTTCTATTTGCTGGTTTGGCTAGACCTGTGGGAAAACCTGATCAAAGCAATCTTTTATCCTGATCTCTATAAGGCACAATGTTGTTTTGGTTTTTTTTTTTTTTGGTGGTGCTGGGGTTGGAACTCAGGGCTTTATATTTTCTAGGCAGGTTGTCTACCACTTTAGCCATGCCTCTAGTCTACAAGGCACAGTGTTGAGAAGGGAAGGGTATGGTAGAGGGAGTCAGGAAGAAACGTCAATAAAAATTTGCTCTGATTATGGGAATTTCTAAATAACAAGTAGGTTCCCTTCATTAAGGCACTTTACAATGGGTTACATTTCTTTCTTGAATTAAGTAATCCAGCTTTAGCTTTCAAGCAGATTTGTCAGTAGTCTCTAAAGGAGAGACCCTTTCTTCTCTTCCAGTTCCCAGTGCTTAATAATAGTGCTTTCAGCTGTGCCTTTGGACTCAGCTTCCCTTTCCTGCCATTTCTCCCTTTTTTAGTTATGAATGGAAAGGAATCTCTGCAGGTCACCATTCTCCGTAATAATCTATGGGATCTTAAAGATAATGACTTATCCTTTCCTTCCTCCTTTCCTTTCCCCCCCTCAAAGCTGAATTACCCTAGCAGTTTAGAACCTTAAAAATCTTCATACCTAGGTTTCATTTTTCCTAGTCTTCTCTGGATTCACCTTCTGAGTACTTTTCCAGTGCTTTACAGACTAGACGTCTATCCTTTTTCTCCCCTTAATATTTTATACTAAAACAGTGACAAAATCCTGATTTCTAAAGCCTCATTCAAAAATCAGACTATCCAAAGTGCACAAGGATTTGTGTATATATGGAGGAGGAAACTGCAGAATACATCAGTGACTCTTAAAGGTTGATATTGCTCTATGGCCTTTGCTCCCTGAATCATCTTAATGGGGCTTTTGTTAAATTCCTTTGGCACTAACAGTAGAGGTACTTGGCCTAAATGCCCCCTCCCCCTGCTTTGGGCAAAGGTATCAATTACATTAAGTCCCCAAAGCACTCCCATCTCCTTCCTGGCAGTCCCCTGTGCCCCTCTCCCAGCTGCGTCCTTGCCGGTGCCTGGCCCCTCCATTTCGTTAGGAGAAGCAATCTCCTCGTCCGTGCGCTGTGGAGACATATTTCTCAGCTAGGGCGCGAGCA